ATACGTGAACAAAAAGCTATTCGTCAACGAAAACAAGTTATACAATCAATCATTGATGTACAAAAATCTATACAACAATTAAATGAACTCGATGATGCAATTAATCTATCAAAGTAAATTGAATACAAACGAAAACTTTTATTATTATTTCTATTTTAATAAAATTTTGTTTAAGAATTGATATAAGTGAAATGATTGAACGTGCTGTTGTTCAATTTAGTTTTATTTCTATACAATTAGATAAATGTGGTCAAAATGAATCACATGTTGAATCACTTAAATTAGTAAAATAAACAATTAGTTTTTCTTCTTTTTTTTTCTTTATCAAGTTATGAATTTAGGTTATAGAAAATTTACGTCGTGTATTTGAAAAACGTTTAACAACAGCTTTTATAAATGCATATCGTGAATCAAATATGTCATTATTAGCAGATTCTCTCAAAGGTTTAGCTTCTATTTCACTTCAAACTATTGCTGAACAAACATTTGCAAATGAAATTGTTCGACCTTATATGGAAAAGGTAATCAATTAAATTTTGATTTTCAATGAAACTACTGTGTAGGATAGAAGAATTTCATAAATCATTAAGACTTATGATGTGTTAACAACAGAATAACAAATAATTGACTAAGAATGTATTTATACATTTTTGAAAGCAAGTTGAAAACTAAGACAAAAAGTATTTTGTTGGAATTTGAAGAACGTATTCAAATACAAAGATGTTGAAGTTGACTAGTACCAGAAAAGAATGATATATATGTGTCTGTGATATTTTATAAAGTATGTGCACTTTGTTTGGGATGTACTTGAAACGTTTTTTGTAGGTATTCTCGTGATAAACATAGTAACAAGAAAAATAATAAACCCTATTCTCACAATAGAAGATTTGTCTTGAGTTAAATGATTTTTTGAAAAAATTGGAATTTTAATTAGTCTGTTTGCATGAAAATATGGCTAATTTTGAGTTTTTTGAGTTGAAAATGATAAAAATTTGTTGTCAACATTATTTTTGAAGTTTTGAAATGTTCAAAATCGTTTTCGATTTTTGAAAAGCGTTTGAAATTAAATCTAATGAAAATAGATAAAGAACTGTCCTAAAAACTTTCTATGGTTTAGCATTATATACGACCCAAGGTCTTCAATTATGATGCGGAGTACATTTTCAGACCTTCAATATTGTGGAAATATGTTCGATAAGGTTGCAGTGATTTATGAATTCTACTTTAGTTTCTAGAAATATAATAAAGAAATAGTTCATCTATAATAGAGAGACATTATTGATAAACAGTTTATGAGATGGATGGAAATTTTGCCTATATACTTCAACAAGTCTATTAGGATGTGTTTCACGAAGAACAATGCCATATTTATAATATAAATATGGGTCGAAGCTATGGGACACTTGTTCTCAGTAAAACGAGGACGTGTGAAGTTAAGTATTAAGATGACGATAGGTGATACTGAACGTTTCAAATGAACTGTACAAAACAGCGAATGAGATAAGATTGAAATTTTAATAGGAATTGAGAAAGAATCTATTTGACGTTGGAAATGAAATTTCTGGAACTTGTTCGTTATTATTCTTCAAATGTGAAAATTTTAAATCCGATAGACTTTATTTGTTGAAATCGTATGAATAACATTTAGGACTTAGAAAGAAAAATCGTCTATTTTACTGTGTAAAATATTCATAAAATGGAAAATTTATCTGAAAATTATTTGATGAAAGATCAAGGCCGATTAACGAAGAAACATTTCTAAGTGTCGAATTGCCTTCGAATCAGTCTTATATACATCATGGAGGTTCTAGTGAACTTCCTCAGAAACATTAAGAAAACTGATTTTCGAACTCCAACTCGAAATTTTCCATATAGGCAGATTAGCAAAAGATTTAAGATCTACCTCTGCGCAAACCATTAAATCCAAATTCAAACATCAGTTTTTCTGACAAGGATCACAGCGTTTTAATGAAAATTACCAGTGATAAGCTATTGACTCGAACTCTTTTCAAGATATTCATAGCTCATTAGAGCCTACATAATGCATATCAAGAATGGAATCGATTCGTGTTTTTTTTCTGAACTATATCCACCTTTGATGCATATAATTCCAACTCAACAGCAGATTCATAACTTATAATAAACTCTATTAACTCATCCAGAACAAACTTTTTCTCATCACACTCTTTTTTGTTTTAATTTAAGACTGTGCATAATGCATTAGTTCAGTCAATAAATATATCATTAGCATTTGATAAAACATTAGATTTTATTCGTACAGAATGTAAAGCAATGCTTTATGTTGTTGAACGTATAAATCGTGAATGTGGTAGTCAATTTGATTTTGTTGTTAATTCAATATTTCCTGAATTAACACGACATCTTGAACAATCATCTGATATGTTATTTTTTGTTGGTGATCCTGATATATTTCATGAAAGATATACATATTGGTTAAAATTTCTTGAACAACTTCAAAGTATTTTATCAAAAATAAGTGAACAAAATTTAAAAAAATCGAAAACATATCTTGAATTTTCATCACGATGGGATTTAGTTGTTTATTATCAAATAAGATTTCAAGAAATATCTAATTCAATTGAAAATATTATTGTTAAACAACCATTTCTATTAAATGAAGAAAAAAATTCTTTATTTAAAACTCTTATTACATCAACAATATTTCAATCTATTGATCGTTGTTGGCAAACAAATGTTTTTCTTGAACCATTATCACATCGATTTTGGAAATTAACTTTACAATGTATTGTTCGATTTCGTGTTTGGATTGAAACATTTAATGTAAATAAATTAATAAATTCTTTGTTTTTTTTTCTTAGAGAATAATATATTGATTTTTTTTTATGCTTAGATAAAAACAACCGATACTAAATTTCTTTTAAATCTCTATGTTGATCTTCAAACATTTTCTAATGAAGTAAACAAATTTTTTCATAGTATTATTCTTGGTCAACGACTTACATCAATTATTTCACTATCACCCAATATAACAACCGAATTAACAAATAGTAAAGACAAAAAAAACGAGAGTGTTTCTTTTTATTAAAAAGAAAAAAATACATATTTGTTTTTTTTTTGTTGATTAGTTTTGAATGAAACACTTTCAAGTTTAACTGATCAATGTCGTACAAATTTAAAAAATTTAGTTATTGAACAATTAATAGAACGATGTAATGAAACACTTCATTCCATACAAGAAATACCTCGAATGTATAGAAAAACAAATCGTGAAGTAAGTATTACAAATAT